ATGCATATATTAAAGGTGATTTACCATCTAGACATATAATATATCTAATGTGTATTTTCATGGGAGCTCTAGGCAGTTGCCTACATTCGCCTAGTGCAAAGACAACCCCTGGATAGGAACCAGAAGTGTGACGAGTTTAATGCCTCTAAAAGCTCCCTCACAGAAAGTTATTACATGAAATGGTTATGAATACACTGTCTCATGTCTCAGACACTCCTTTATGATAGTTTTGAGATATGATTAGTCCTAAAATATATCTTTTAAAATCTATTCATGGTGGAGGGGTACATGCAGGGCGTTGTAAAAAAAAATACTCCCCAAAGAAAAAAATAATCCCCATATTTTTCCAGATTTATCGCTATTTTGTCAACATCATTAGATATATAGACTCAGAAGACACATGTAGGATTTGGATAGTGACTAAAATGGCTAATTTTGCATCGTAGATCCCTAATTGGTCAATTTCTCCTTGTCTACAAATGTCCAGATAGGTTGAATAATCTTATTATAGCCTTGCAGTGATGTCATCATAGGAAATATGACATATATTGTCTACATTTGAGATGTTTTCACCTGCAGTACAAGAATACAATGAAGATCCATAAACCACAAATGAAACCTGAAATCTCAGGACGCAGGTGATGTGTATGAGCATGTGAGGAGTGTTTCTAAATGGGGAAACCAAAGACACGTTACTGCACACCTCTAATGGCAGAACCTGAGGCACTAATGCACGTCCACTGACATTCCTGGCCTAGAGCGGTGGAGCTGGTCTTCACTCGTTCTCCAGAAAACGGGGGTTGAGGCTGACTAATGGCCTTTGCTGATGCAGCTTCCCTCTGCTTTTGTATTAAAGATGAGATTGATCCCAAACTCCATTTGTACGGAGATCCTGCTGCTGCAGCCGAGGTGCTGGGCTTCACGTCCGAGAGCCAGGGGCCGCGTGCGACCACAGGAATGGAGCTGCGGCATTCGTACGCCAGCAGAAGCTGTCAAATAAGAAAGCACACTCACTGAAGAGGTTTTATTCATTGCTTTAATAATGGAAATGGAGGGGAAATTAGTGCAGGTGCTGAAGAGCAGGATCTGGGTAGCTTATCGTCAGCAGTGACCACTAACCTCATCTGAATCAGTGAAGCATTTGGAAGTATGTAATATGGCAGCAAAAGAGACAACAACCGAAACCCACCAGCTACTGTTTTGTCGTCATGCTTATGCCGCTCGTTTCCTGCACATGGATTAAAGGGGAATTCCACTGGTATTTCAAAATTTCTGCATAATTAAATCATTATGGTCTAAACAAGGTCATTCAGAATGGTTCGATGTGAAATTGTTCATTGTAGAAAAGCTTACCAACTCAGATTATTTCATAGTGGTGGTGATAGGAACCAGATATCTGAAGAGTTTAATGTCTTTAAAAGCTACATCATAGAAAGTTATTACACTAAAAGGTTAGAGATACATTTCCTGATGTCTGAGACATTGTTCTACAATAGTTTTGAGGTTTTGGCCTAAAACATATTTCTAAAAAATCCGGCCTAGCGTGGATGGCCTAGCACACTGCAAAAATTAGTATCTTGTCAAGTGAAATGATCCTAAATCTAGTCGATATATCAAAGATTTTCCATTTTGAGATGGTTTTGCACTGATTATAAGATCATCTAGCTTAGTTCTAGACATTATTCATTTGTTTTTGGTGATTTTATAGAGTAAAATTATGTGATTATACCAGCAGATAATTTTGCTGGTTTCAAGCACATTTCTTAGAGCAAACAAAATTATTTGCCAACATGGTGCGTTAAATTTACTTAATTAAATCAGATGTATAGAAATAAGGTAAATAATCTAAAATTAAGCTTACAACAATCTCAACAGGAGAAATATTAGATGTATTGACTACATTTAAGATGATTTTACTTGACAAGATACCATTTTTTGTAGTGTGTGTATATATATTTTATAAAAATATATAAAAATCCGGCCTAGAGACACGGCGGAAAGGGTGTTATAAGGCACTATATAATCACTACACCCTACATTCGAAAATCTGGATCACTGTATAGGAAACTGTCACAGAGAACAGAATTTGTGATGGTAGTAAATGATTTTAGACGCTAATGTTACGTTATGTGGATTTGCTCATTACTGCAGATTCCATTGCATTAACTCTATAAATGTCATGCAGCCAGTCCACTATACCCTCCGAGTTGACTGCACACATGAGAAGAGCTTATTTTGTAACAAGTCTGAGAAGTCTGTGAAGGTGTTGCCATTTCAGCTAGGCTAATCACTAATACTACTCAGAGAGTGTGAAACCTCGAACCAAACAATGCAGTGCATTATGGGTATCCCCTATCCCCTGGAATCCATCAGTTGTACCTTACATATTGTCACTGTGGGACTGTTTGAGTGCACTGGATCTTCTGGACACCACTGCAAAATGGGGAATCCCAAAAAAAGGTGGTTTTGGGTAGTAAATAAAACAGCTGTGTTGCAGACGCTGTGACCCCTGGTTCCTATCACCACCACTGTAAAGACATCTGAGTTTCTCAACAGTTAATGACTTTATGAACATCTAGGCTTCACTTTAATCTGGACGTGGAAGACCAGCCCGTAATAATTCGAAGCCATTATACATATAAACCTGAGACAAATCCCTTTTTCCTAGTTTAAGAAGCCGCTTCAGCAGACCTCAACCAAACTGAACATCTTTTGGAACATTTGAAAAGAGACAAGGCAAAGCACACTGTGACCTCTCAGAGCTGTAATACTGGTTCTTCAATTCTACAGAGGCCTTCACAACCAGTGCCAGACAGAGTTCAGGCTGTGATTAAGACAAAAGATGGACTCACCATATATTTGCTATATTTCAAAACCTAGCGAGAGCCTTGCTTCTCACTGCCCACATAGGCAGCTGTGTAGGTAGACAGCTTTTTCACCAAAATAGAACCTTATAAAACAGTTACTGAGACTCTAGTTAGAGATCAAATGCGTCCACAGTCGAACTATCTATGCTCCGCCTACAAATGCATTCTTTCGTAGCAACTACGAGGTTGGACAACTTCACTATGAGCAATATTTGTCATAATTATTAATGTAGCACATGCTCAGCGTCCGGAGTTGAGCTGTGTGAAATATATATTTCGGAAATTGAAGTATATTCGTTAAGCTTATCTGTTGAATGAAGTTGTACCACCTTTCGGGTTTGTAGACGCCAGCATTAGACTAGCAGTGTCTGCTAAAGGGCTAACTAGGTGAGCTGTGCATCTGTTTAAATCAGTATTTGTTAGCCCTGCTTCAGGAGGCCTATAGCCCAAAAACAAAAGAGCGATTCCAAAAGCAAAAAAGAGATAAGCAGAATCAGCAAACAGAAAAATGTGAAGGCAAAAACTGGCTAAATATGTAATAAATTTATGTCAGAATGAGTGAAAATAAGTAGAAATCTCTTTGAAAAAATATGTTTGATTTAACTCTCATTATTTATATTTGCAAGATTTTGTACATTTTGTACATTTTGATACATTTTGATGCTTGTGGATTCTAGTATTTTATTTGAAAAATATATTTTTTCACACAAAATTAACTCCATACTTTGCTGAACTTTAGTAAAAATGAATTTATGGTGGAGTTTGCTGTTGCAGACAAGTTTTCAGGTTAAAAAACATTTGACAGTGTTTTCATAGCTAATCAAAACTATAGGCAGATTTGCAACCATGCTAATGTTAGCCTGATTACACAATTAAAAATACTACACCTGATCAGTGCAATCTAAATATCATCTGAAATTAATAACACCTTCTATATCTACACATTTGTATGGCAAAAGTTGAAAGTTTACTCAGTATTTCTTAGGGTTTAATGGGATTCTTTTTGCCAACGTTCTGGAAAGTTTGTCCAGTTGCTGTGTAAGATCGCATTTGCTGATGAAGCAGGGACAGGTCAGTTGTTCCTTTCCCCTGCACCAGTACAGCATCACTACAGTGTTCAACAAAGCATCATGTTTGTTAAGACTGCTGACTAGTCTAACCAACTACAGATTAGCTCCAATTAATCCAATCAATTCTTGTTAACTATCCAAGAATACCCACATAACCAGGACAGTAGATTAGGCTATAATGTTGCCCAGCTAATGTTGTCTGATAACAGGATTGTACCAATCTAACACTGGCTAAGCTAGTTAGCTAGCTGGCCACTTGAAACAACAGTATGAGGTGACTGAACAATGCTAATCTGCGAATGGTCTTGATGGACTTGAGGTCACAATTGACTATACTGAAGCCACAAATGACTATATCGAGGCCACAAATTATTATATTGAGACCACAAATTATTATATTGAGACCACAAATTATTATATTGAGGCCACAAATTATTTTATTGAGGCCACAAATTACTAAACTGAGGCCACAAATAACTATATTGAGGTCACAAATGATTATATTGAGATCACAAATGACTATATGGAGGCCACATATTTTTAGATTGATGCCACAAATTATTATGTTGAGGCCACAAATTACTACATTGAGGCCCCAATTTACTATATTGAGGTCACAATTGACTCTATTGAGGTCACAAATTACTATATCGAGGCCACAAATTATTATAGAGGCTACAAATTACTATATTGAGGCCACAAATTAATATATGAAGGCCATCCACGAGTTATAAGAAACTTAACTCGTGGACTCGTATATTATTTGTGACCTCAATATAATAATTTGTGGCCCCAACATAGTAACTCCTGGCCTTAATATCCTAATTTGTGGCCACGTCTTATTACAAGACTATCACCTTGTCACCGTTGGGGCTCCGTATGAATGAAACACATTACATCAACAATCCTCAAACTCGGACTCAGCGCAGCAGCTGCAGCGCAAACTCGCGTGTGTAGGTGCGCGTGGCTGCGTCAGAGGGAGCGCTTGAGCGCGATTGGTCCGACTAGAGCGCGAGGAGGAGCTCCCCCTATAAGAACAACGGCGCGCGCGCCCGGGAACCCCTGCATCACGGCGGCGCTGCGGAGACCTTGTGTGAGTGTGTGTGTGCGCGCGCGTATCCACTTCAGCACGTCTAACAGCATGAGTGAGGTAAGAGCTCACAGCCCGCACAGCGCGCAACCGACCGCGCGCGCTTACTGTCATTTAGAGCTCGTGCAACTTTGTGCAGCGCGACTGGGATCGAACCTGGAGTTCCCTGCCGAGCGCGTGACTCTGAATGTGCGTTATCAGCAGGTGCTTTTGAGTTTCTGTCTTTAGCGGAGCTCGAAGCGGACAGAGCGCATATGCGCCGCTGAGAGCTGCGGGAGTTTTGGGGTGGGGGGTGGTGGGGGGGTTGAGGGGGCTGAGGGGTTGCTGTGGTCCGCTGGCTAAAGGCTCTGCGTTTGGGGGGCTTTAGGCATCACAGCAGACAGCTGTCACTCAGGATTCACCAACTTCTCCTGAGAGAGCCTCAAGCGCCTCGAACAAGAGCGCAGTTTATTTCACAAGAGGCTGCAACAGCCTGGCCGATCTGATGATGATGATGATGATGATGATGATGTTGTGGAATAAACTGTAAAGTATTTTGGGAGCATTCAGAGCTGAGCGATTAATCGTCTTTAGTATGTTTATATGCGTATGTATTTACTTTGCTTGTATAGCTGATTTATAATTTCTGTGAAAAAACATGCTGTGTCTTTACAAACTTTACAGAACCTTTACAGAACCTTTACAGAACCTGTACAGAATGTACTCAACCTTTAGACCTATTACTAAAATACTAGATTTTTCTCTATACAGATACATATTTACATACTATCATCAGCAGTATATGTATATATCTATCAATATTAATATCTATCTATCTATCTATCTATCTATCTATAGGTATAGGCATTCTGTCATAAATGACTATGTCAAAAATGTATATGTATAATATATTTATATTAAATGAAAATATATATAATTTTGAAAAAGGAATTTTTTACTTGTCATAATAGAGGATGTACCTGTGCAAGTGTTTCATCATCCTAAGTATGTATATATATGTATTTACTGAATGTATATATCTATATATGACTATAATGTATATCTATGTATTAATATATGTAGTTATTTTCAGTAAATACATACATATATACAGACTTAGGATGATGATGAAACATATATATATATATATATATATATCTGCTAAAAAGGGTTCTAGATCACCAAACAACAAGGACTCTGTGACTTGTAATGATAGAGAGGTTGTAGCTGTGTGCTTATGCATTCAGATTGTTCTTTAAGTGTTCATGGTTCTATATGCATAACCATTACCTTTACTGAAGAACCCTTGAAGAACCATTGTTTTGAGGGAGTATGTAGCGGCTGTTGGAACCTTGTGCCTCAATTTTTTGATCATTTTCTGTGTTTTTACATCATTTGAAAACACCAGCCATACTTTGCACCATGTTAAAATGTCACTATGAACCGACCAGTTGAAGGTTTCCATTACCTTACATTAAAGGTAATGAACGTTTTTCCTTCTCCTCTAAAGTCACAATTTTGGACAATAACTTTTAATGGAAGTTAAAGTAAAAAGGATTTTATTCTGAGCAGTTTTGGACCATTTCTGTTGGTTCATTCGTCACGAATGAATTTTAACGCAGTATAAAGAGTGGCTTGAGTCAAATTATGCAAATACAAGATTTTTGCCTGATATATTCCTAAAGGTGTTTCTTCTTAAATCCACAATGCAACAGCAGCACAGATCCTGTGCTGACATTGCCTGCCTTTTAGTTTTAATGCCAACGTTGTGTTAAACAAATAAATATACCTTGTTTATTTATTTATTTTTGCGAGTTTGGTTTACTTCCGCCTGGTGAGGCCACTTATCGCATAACGCAATGGGCACAGCTGAGTGTGCTCATGCTGTAAAGCGTCAGCTCTCGAGCACATTGTTTCTGCAGTGCTAACTGTGTTTACTAGCGTTATTGCATCTGTTGAGGGAGCACCTGCGATGGGTACCACACATGCATGCGTGTGTGTGTGTGGAGCTGCTGCAGCAGCAGCCCTCGAAACGGCAGAGCAGGAAGAAAAACAGAACTCAAGATGTTACATAAAGGATTAGCACACGCTTTCCCGTCTGATGAACTTTTGTGTAGGAGAGAGCGCAGTGAGAGTGGCTCAGTCGGCCATGGACTGCAGCACGGTAACATCTGAAATGAAGCAGCAGCATCTCGTCGCTCTGTAGACCCTCCGCCAGCTTGACTGACGCGCCAAATTATTAGTCAAATGATGAGTGAAGGAGAGGCATGTTGCGCAGGCGAGATGTGGAGCACTGGCGCAAAGTGCATGGCAAGGAGAGTGGGCTTTGCAGAGGGAGAGGCCGCATGCAGCGCTCCCTGAATAATGAAGGGATGCTGCTGACCCTTTCCAGTGGCACGGTCTCTTCATTAAGGTCAAACGAGAGGTTGCGCTGCTAATTATTTACTTCCAGCCCTCAGCATTATCTTGCGTGTGGTAACAGACTGGTGCATGCTGCTCACCGCATTCGAGTCAGGTTCACTGGAATCCCCTGTTGGTTGATGTTAAGTCTGCTGTGTGGGAGAATGGACGGGAGGGTCTTATCAGCCACATATTGGTGGTCTTACTCTGCAGCTGCCTGTATTCTGAACACAAGCAGAAACCTTGCTCAGACACACGGCACGCTCCCACTGACCTGGGTCCGTATTCATCAAGCTCCTCAGAGCAGGAGAGCTGATCTAGATCTATCTGTTCCTGTCGGTAAGGTCATCATAAATAAGGGAGGAGTCCTAGATCAGTGCTCCTATTCTGAGAAGCTTTATGAATTAAGCCCTGGTCTTTTCGAGGTAGATAGAGCAAGGAGTGCAGACAGGAGCAGAATAATGGCATCGAAAGAATGGAGTAAACCATGTTTGACCAAAATGAAAACGTACGATAAAAGGGGGTCTTGTTGGAACCTACCTGCCCAAATACACTCTCAGAAATAAAGGTACAAAACTGTACCTGGGGCAGTTCCCCTCCTGTCACTGGGGTGGGACCCTCAAGGGTTCATCTCAGTACCTTTAGTCAGGGAACATAACTGAACCATAATCCACTGAAATGATATGTTCTAAGCTGTACTGACTCCACACACCCCGTCTCGTCTCCAGGCTTTTATTTTATTGTATCATTAAGTTATGAAAAGGTACAAATACGAACTTTTCACCTGGAAAAATGTATTTAAGGTTCACAGCTGGACCTTAAAATCACTGTTGTACCTTTGAGGGAACATTTACATTGTTTATACCTTGATGAACGAAAAATGTACCTGCAAAGTAGCTTTATTTCTAACAGTGTACATTTTAGATCTGCGCTGTAGTGACATCTGATGGGACGCCAAGTCACATTTGGCCTAGAACACTTAAGGGTTAAACGGGCCTAACCTCTCGGAAATTAGAATGCATGAAGAAATGCACCAAAACGCATTAAATCAGAAACAGAACTCGTGATACTCTGTGCTGCGGTGATGTCTCAAAAATAAAGCTGCCAAAAAGGCAATGAGTGGTTCTGCAAAACACTCTCCACACTCACATCCTATTTACATTTTTGCAAAGTTTAAAGAACCACATACTGTGAAGGTTCTGTTCCAATTGAAGGTTTTTCCTACACTCTATAAAACAAAAGTGCCAAAAAGTGTACTTTGTGCACAGCCGCAGAAGAACCACTTTTGGTTCCCTAAAGAACTCTGCGCCAGGTGCCCATTCCCCAGGCTCCGATGATGGCTGTGAGAACTGTCAGGAAGGTGGGGCCCAAATCCCAAGCATGCAAAGACGGATGGCTTTTCGAAAACCCTGCCTTCCTGCCAGCTCTTGCGGCCATCATCAAAACCTGGGGAACGAGTGGCTGCCTCAAACTTTTTAATACATGGTTCTTTAGAGGACCCCTTTTTCTTCATGCACTGTGTGAAGAACCTTTATAAAGTTTAAAGAACCTCCACATAATGTAAAAGTTCTAGGAAGAACCCTTATACTGGTGAAGAATCTCTACATTAGGTTAGGGTTCTTTAAACCTTTGAAAGACTGGTATTCACACATCTCATTTACAGACATGGGGTCTCATTTACTAATATCTTCCTAAGTCTTTTCTTATATGTGTTCTTGAAAAGGTTCTAAGAAAAAGTGTACGGCAGATTCATGAAGTGTTCTTAAACCGCAGAATTGTCCACATCTTTGTGCTCTTGAGTGTGTGCAGATTCTGTTCTAAGAACAAATCCCAAATAAAAAAAGATTGATTCATGTCAGAATGTTCGTAAAAACTGCGTAAGTGGGTTTTAAGAAGAAATTTCTTTATGAGAACGGTTGGTGAATGAGGCCCATGGTTCTTTAGCAACCCAAAGAGATTCTTCTGCTCAAGGAACCCTTTGTAGCACCTTTATTATAAGAAGGTAGCACTACACCTCCAAACCAAGAACCATTTAGGAACCTTTATTTTAAGAGTATATATTGTGGATTTCCTTATGCTTCCACTTTTACTGGAAGTTATGCAAAACATAATGTAATCAGATTGCACACAGCCAACAGTGACTTCCTACACTCTTATGGTTCTTTAAAGAACCACTTTTATATGAGATGTTCAAGTGTAACGAACCTTTTGAACGTTTAAAATATCTCCACATTATATAAAGGTTCTATGCCAGTTAAACTTCTTTTTTCCTAGAACTGTACATTCAGGCCAGTTCAACTTCTTTTTTTCTAGAACATTTAGGCGCCTTTGTTTTTAAACATGAATCATTCTGGCTTATCATAAAGGCAACAGTTATGTGGAGAACCGTGACAACTCAAAGGACCACATAAATGCTTAAATGTTTCATGGTTTCATGGTTCTTCATCATGTAAAAAGGGTTCACCAAAAAGGCTCAGCTACTGTTACAGGTCATAGAACGTTTATTTGGTATTACATAGAACACTTTTGGAGATCATTCAGGGTTGACTGACCTTGATTGACTGGCTTGATACTGGCAGACCAATGCGCGCAGGTTTCACAGCCAGAAGGCAGCGGAATTAAATCCAGACTGTCCAGATTTGGTGGGCAGGGTTGACAGGTCTGTCCTCCTTCCATAGATA